TGCTGTTGAGCATTAACAACTATTTGTTCTGATGGTTGAGGAAATGGTGGTAGTTGTTGTAATAGTTGCAGCGTTGGCGATGGTTGCGGTGATTGTTGTTGCGACGGTTGCTGCTGCTACTGTTGAAGTATTAACAACTATTTGTTCTGATGGTTGAGGAAATGGTGGTAGTTGTTGTAATAATTGCAGCGTTGGTAATGGTTGCGGTGATTGTTGTTGCGACGGTTGCTGCTGCTGCAACTATTACAACAATTACCATCATTTCCTCAACCATCAGAACAAATAGTTGTTAATGCTCAACAGCAGCGTTGGTGATGGTTGCGGTGGCTGTTGTTGCGACGGTTGCTGTTGCTGCTGTTGAGCATTAACAACTATTTGTTCTGATGGTTGAGGAAATGGTGGTAGTTGTTGTAATAGTTGCAGCGTTGGTGATGGTTGCGATGGTTGTTGTTGCGACAGTTGCTGCTGCTGCTGTTGAGCATTAACAGATATTTGTTGTGATTATTGAGAGAATGGTGATTGTTGTTGCTGCTGAGCTTGCAATTGTTGCAGCGTTGGTGATGGTTGCGGTGGCTGTTGTTGGGACGGTTGCTGCTGCGACGGTTGCTGCTGCTGCTGTCACAGATATTTGTTGTGGTTGTTAAGGGAATGGTGATTGTTATTGCTGCTGAGCTTGCAATTGTTGCAGCGTTGATGATAGTTGCGGTGATTGTTGTTGCGACGATTGCTGCTGCTGCTGTTGTTGATGCATTTGAGAGTGGCCAACTGCCTGTTGGTGTGGTGTAGATTGCTGTTGCGATTCTTGAGCTTGAGCAGCTTCATTTTTCTTACCAGGTAGCATAGGCATAGCATCTGGTACTTCCGAAGTAGAAGATGAAGGTAGTGGTTTTAGTTTCATTGTGTAAAACCGAATCTTGCCAATGAGATCATCATTAGGCGGGTTGAGAGCTCTATACTTTACTCTATGTATAGTAGATTCTGGCTTATTGAATCTCGCTTTTGATCCCATCTCTATCTCAACCTCAGTCTTCTTCTCCATATTAGTAGTAGTAGCAGTAGTAATCGTCGAGATTTGTGTTGATGGGCTATTTGAACCACAAAACAGATGATATAATCTATTAAAAACGTGACTAATAGGCCCTATAACAGCGCCGCCGAAGCTACTCTCATTTACGATAGGGCTGTAAGTTTGACGTATGCAGTCAAACATCGCTTCTTGAAAATTATTTGTGAGAGACATTTTTATTTCTATGTCAGAAAAAGTTTTTTATTTATTTTGAGATGCGATTTGATATATATATATATATATATATATATATATATATATTAGTGCAGCATGATTCAATGATCGGTTTTACAAGAAACAATTAGCGTAGCTGCTTATATTTTTCACCACGATCGGTTTTACAAGAAAATCGAAATTGAGGCTTGTCATGTGACAAAATTTAAATTTGTCAAGGTGATTGTTATTTGCGTCAATTGATATGTCATAAAAACGTGAAAAAATTAGTGTATTTCTCACAATGATCGGTTTTACTAGCGTAGGTGCTTATATTTTTCACCACGATCGGTTTTACAAGAAAATCGAAATTGGGCCGTTTTTAGTGATCTCACGTGACAAAATTTAAATCGTCATTGTATATGTAATCGATTTTACATTGAGTTGATTAATAGTAAATTTTGAGTTATTTGCATGGTGTGGGGCATCTATATATGACAATCACTTAACCAAAATGATGGAATCTTTAATTTTTAGAGATACTGTATTAATTTAAAATCTGACTGATAACTTTTGTTCTTCATAATAAGCTTTACAAAGTTACCGATCAGATTTTTAAATAATTTTTTTGTAAAAGTTTTAGGCATTAAAGATTTTGAAATTTTGTTACGTGATTGTCGAGTATAGATGTACCGCATTATATCTGTGCCTATATTTATATATGTATAATAAATTGAGATCTCGAGCGAGCAAACAACGCCCCGTTGAATTAGAACCCTAGTCAAAAGTGACTGTCACGTGCTATTTTACAATCAAATCACAAGATATGAAATATTGATAACATTTTAATAAGGTTAGAATTATATATTGCATTACATGACTTGGCAAATATTTAGAAAGGTAAAATAAATTAATAAATAGATTAACAATTGGTATTTGATCAGATTATTTGGCCTGTCAAAATGAATAATAAAATTCTTGATCATAGTCAAATATCAACTTTACTAAATTTAACTCTGACCTGAATAGAAATGTTATTGAATATTTTATTCAACTCAGAAAAGTTAGTTGGACTAAAGAATTGTAAATATAATATAGATTAAAAGCTAAAATAATTATTTTATGCAGAATAACTTTTACTAGAATTTTAGATTTTCTATATTAATATACATAAAGATTATATTATAAAAAGTAGAGAATTCAAAAAAATAAAAATAAATAGAAATAGAAATATCAAATTAAAATAATAAAGAAATAATTAGATATATAATTTAATTATTTATAAAATAAATATTATTTTATTTTTTAATAATTTCTTTTATTTTTTATAATATTCTTTATATAATAATTTTTTATTTTTTTTTAATTTTTTTCATAATTAATTTTTCATAATTTTTATTTTAATATAATTTTTCTATAAAAGATATAATAAATATTTTAAATTAAATATATAAAAATAATAATTGTATAAGAATAAAATAATATACTTTAAAGTTAAAGTTATGTAATTATCTTTATATAATTGCTTTTAACTTATTAAAACAAGAAAATTATTAATAGTACTTCAGATTTTATTAAAATATATAATTTAATTCAGAGTAAATTATATATTTTAATATAAACTAAAGTATTTTATTAATAATTCTAATCAAAATTCATAAATAATTATTAAATAATTAATAATTAGATTCTTTTAATTTAAAAAACAGAATAATTAATATAAATATATTTATATAATAAAAATCTGAGTTTAAGATTTTTATTTATAAAAAATAAATAATAAAGTTAGTTAATTATATAAAATTTATGAGATAATTAAATAAACTTTAATAAAAAAAAATTATAGGTTATAATTATTTATATTATTCTTTATATTTAATAACTTCTCATATCTAATTCTAAAAATTTGATATATAAATATATCTTTCTAAGTATATTCTTTCTAAGTATATATACTATATAACTTTTTTTTAAATATATAGTATATTTTGATCTTAACTTATAATAACTTTATATATTTTGATTTCTATAAATATATACTTTTTTTAAATATATACTTTTTATTTTTTTATTATAATTCCAAGAGTTATATATTTTGATAGTATTAACTAGTAATATTATAAATTTGAAAAATATATAAAAGAATCTACTATTCTAGCTTGAAATAAATAGTTTTGAATTGAATTATTTGGAAAATATAATTAAAAAACTTATTATCATAATAATAATAATCTTTTTAAAAGATTTCTTTTCTAATTATACTAGTATTCTTTCTCTTATTCAGTTTTATTTCTTTAATTATACAAAGTTAATTTTGATTTGTATTATAATGTTATATTAATTTTTGATTTTTAATATTATTTTGAGAGTAGAAGATCTTTACTATAAATAAGTTATGCTTTTATTTATTTTATTATTATTAAGAGTAAAAGATCTCTACTATAAATAAATCATATCTTTTTAGTTATTTAGTTTATTATTTACTTTAGTTTTTATCTTTTCTTTAGTTATAATCTTCTTTAATTAATAGTAGCTTTATTATTTAATTCTTTTAAATACTGAATTATATTGATTATTAGTAACTTTATTAACTAATCTTTATAATTTTCTTGATTTATTTTATTATTTAATTATCTCTTTAAAGATAATATTCATAGATATTGGCACAGATTTTAGAAATCTTTGTCAGTATAATCTAATTTCTCTCTTTTTATTTGTTAATTAATTCAGTCTCTCCCAATTCAATATTATTAAGGTGAATTCAAGTAAAAATTCACTTATCAGATTTGTTATAATACTAGTTATTTATAAATTTTATTTATTTATTTTATTTTAATTTTAATAGAAATAATAAATATTTAATAATTTAAAATTATATAATAAATTAATTAATAATTTATTAATAAAATAAAATCTAGATATATAAATATTTATAAGATAAAATAATTTTTATTTATTTAATTTTATAAATTTTATTTAAAATAATATATAAATTCTTTTTAAAATTTTAACTTTTTAATTTAGTAAATATAAAAATTATTAATTATATTTAATAAAGAATTATAAAATTTTTAATGAACATAATTTTTATAAAAAAAATATATTTTAAAAGCTTAAAATTTGAATAATTATATTAGTAAAAAATATTTATAAAATTTGAATTATTAGTTATATTATAAATTATATTTAATTATTTTTAATTATTTTATAAATAATTTATTAAATACTTTTATTAAAATAATATAGATTAATATATTTATTAAAAATAATAATAAATTATTAACTAATTATTTAATTTTATTATCTTTTTATCTATTTTAACTTATCTTTTTTATATTTTAAAAAAATTTGAATAATTAAATTAAAAAATTATTTAATTATTAAATTAATATTATTTTCTTTAATTATTTCTAATATATTTATTTAAAATATAATTATAATTATAAATTAATAAATTAATAAATAAATAAGCTATCTTACAAAGTTTTTTTTAATAATATTCTTTAAATTTATAATTATATTAACTTATATATTTAAATTACTTTATTATTTCTGTTTTTTATTTTCTAAATATAATTTTATTTAATATATTATTTATATTTAAAATATTTTATTATTTATTAATAAATATTTAATTTTTTATTTGTACTTAGCATAGAAAATAATAATATAATATTCTTGTTATATAAAAATTTAGCTTGATCTTAATATAAAATTCAAGCTAAAAATAAATAGTTTTAATTCAAGTTTATAACTTATAATTTATTTTATCAAATTTAAAATAATTATTAAAAAATAAAATAGAAAGAATATCTTTAAACAATAATTGATTATTATATAAATTATTATATATTATATAATTATATATTAATAATATCAATAATATTTCTGAAAGATACTTATTAATTAATTAATAATTAAATAAATATAAAAATAAAAATTAGAAATAAATAATATTAAATAAAATAAACTAATTAAATATATACAATAAGATTGAATAGAATTTTTATGAGGGAATTTATAATAAAATTTAATTAATTTACAAATTATTAAGCTATAGTAGCTATATTACATATTGCATTATATATACGAAAATAAAGATTTTTATCGATCTTGTTAGAATACGAATATGCAACCTGTAATCTATGTTATGAACGACGTAAGAAAAAGAGACAGGATACAGATCCAGTTTCAAGAAAAAAGGCAAAGCAAACAACTGATCTTAATATTGATGGTTTCAACTATCTTTCGAAATCAAAAGCACTTCAGATATTTTCCAGATTGACGATGACCTTGAAGATCCTGAACTGGCATTGGAACTATTCTAGTAATATATCAATTAAATATGATAGTGAGGATAATAGAATACTTGTATATAATATGAATGAAGTTGAAAGATATATTACTGTATCTCACAATTCTGAAAGGCTGAATCATCTAAAAGACCTACAAAGTTTGCATTTGAAGTCGAATTAGATTCTCAGCTTTTGGAGACCATCTCACTTGAACAAGACACGGAGTCTGATTCGTTGGATCTGAAGAAAATCAGGCACAATTTTATCTGACTTATCAAAATTCTCATTTTGTCATTGAAACCGGATCTTTTAAATTTTTAAAAAAGAAAATTTACTGGATATCTGCAATGTTCATTACGAGATGATTAAAGCTGGCAAAGATCAAATGATCAACCAGTCAAAAGGCAGAATTACAGTTACTATGATCCGAAATTGCAATTAGCAAACAATATTCATTACACCATCATGTAAAGTTTCCAGAAAATGTCAAAAAAT